GCTCAAGGGCTTTCTCCTGTGCCTACACTGGACATCTACACGGTGCTGGGCTCGTTGGGGATATCCAAGTCCCTTGGGTGTTGGCCCTCCACATCTTGTGTGAGTGTGGGAGCGGCACTGTCAGTCGACCCTCAGACTGCCCCCCTGTCCCGAGCACAAGCTCGTCTGGTGGGCACAGCGCCGTAACTGAGCTCTGCCTGGTGGAATGCGGGTGACGGGGGTGTCACTGCTTTTAGGCTTGGTCCGGTATACCTTCTACATACTCCTACGATTTTTCTCTTGTCTGTACATTTTTGCACTAGATACTGCTAGGTGGGGACAAGGAGGAGGGGGAACCGACGCCTTGTCTAGCGGGCTTCCATTGAGAAGCAGATGGCACTGGAGATGCTCTGTCTACAACAGAGGGAACAAAGGGGTCTCCAAGGACTGACCAGCCAGAAAGAGGTAGAAAGGCCACAAAGTGGAGATATGTCCAAGGCCACAGAAGAGGGTCTTTGGAGCATGTGTACACGTAAGGTGACAGCATCTTTAAATGACCTACCCTCGTTAACAAAGTAAAAGAGAACACCCGCCAGCGCCATGACAGTTTACAAATACCATGGCAACCCCCAGAAATTGCCTTACAAGGTTAAAAATGGGGTGGGTTCCCAGTTCCAGGAATTCTCCACCTATTTCCAAGAAAAACCGTGAATATTCCACCCCCTACTTAACATAAAATTAGGGAATCGGCATAAAATAAAAAAAAAACCTTGTTAAATTCAGGGTCTCCTCTGTTCCCAGGGGTTGACCCATTCCTCCTCTGGAATGTTCTATGCTTTCGTGAGCTCTGGCACTTGTCTGCGTGCATCTGCTCGGTGTGCTGCTTTGCCCCACCTGCTGGGTGCCGTCAGCCATTCTTCAGTCCTGAGAGCCCAGACCCAGGGAGAGGCCCCGACGCCTGGTCCCTCACCCCACAGTGCCACAGGCAGGGCGCTGTCAGCACGGGTGTCCAAGGACCGCACAGATCAGAACCTTCCCCTGCTACACACCAGACTTCGTAAAGATGTAAGGCAAACAACCGTAGGAAGCAACTGAAATACTGGGCTGTATCTGGTACAACACACAGATGTAGCTTCACTAAAATTAGTGAGTGATGCCAGTCACAGATTATTTAATGAAAAACTAAAACCACAGAAACCATAAGAAATGGAAGGCAGGATCTCAGCTGCAGAAAACTAAGGGCTGGGGAGAAACATAATTTTATGGCATTGGGCAGAGCGGAAGGTGCTGTGAGCTTGGGAATTCTTGGGCTTTGTAATATCTTACTTTGTTCTCTAGTCTTGAAAATAGAAATATAATCACAGCACTGAGGGATTAATAAAACCCATGTTTCTGTTTGAGTTATTTAATACCAACGTAGCTCAGAATGATCTAAGAGCATCCAGACACCTTGCTGACCATAGTGATTAAAAGCAAAATTTTTCACTAGATGGACTGCCCAGATTTATAATAATTTGTAAACAAAATAAAAAACTCAATTTCCCTAAAATCTTTAAACATACAATGCTAGTTCTTTATTATTTATTAGGCTTCCATTGCCTTGTTTTTAATCTCAGAAAAACTGTTTTTCATTTTGTTTGTTCTGTTCTGTCACATACATCGTCCCTTGAAAGATATAATCCATGCATCTGAAATCAGGACAAGCAGGAGAGAAATACATAAAATATATAAAATGATTTTTACTCTTACTAGAGATGCAAAAACATTGCAACATCAGGGAAAAAGACAGATGACCAGTAAGAGTGAAAGCTATTTTAGAGAAACCAGTAAAAAAATATGTTTTTTTTAAATCACTTAAAGAAGGAAAAAGAAATCAAGGAACTCAAGCAAAGAGTTAGCAACATAAGCACAGGCACTAAGGCATTAACTGAACCCATGATTTTGTTTGGGTCAACTTAGTTCAGAATGATCGAAACACATCTTATCTAAAATTTCCAGGATGATAGGCTTTTTCTATCAATGGAACAAAGCCTAATATATGCAGCACATGTATTCATTTTCTTGGTAAAAAATATCATTTTGGCAGATATCAGATTAGCATTCTATTTTCTAATACGGATTTTGTATTAACATTTACTAATTCCTTTAAAAAATTAATAATGTCAAATAAATATAGTAAATTCAATTATATTTATTAATTAAATTGCAATTCTTACTTTAGTGTATTTTTTCATATAAAAGTTAAATATTTTCTGATTTAGAGTATAACTTTATTGAACAGAACTTTTTGGAAGTCCCCAGGCACAGAGATGGAGTGATTTTTCTTATAGGTAAAATTAAAAGAAGATTTTCAGTAGGTTTATTTCTCATATCAAATACTCATTTGATTTTAAGACAAGATAGAATAATGAAAACTAGTTTATCCTACCCTCTAATAAAGCAACAACAACAAAAGAAAGAAACAAACAAACAAAACAGACAAAATACTTGAAAAAAATTTCTCTAAACATTAGGTAATAAAGGACAGTCATTCTGAAAGACAGCAGACAAACAAAGTAGGTTCTATCAATGGGCGACTTTACAGGCAGTGGCTCTTACAGGGTCTATCTGGGTGGAACCCAGTAGATTCCCTGAGTTGAGATATTGCTAAGACTCCCAGGAAATCTAAGTGGCTACAGTTGGAAGGATAAAGAATTAGGGAGAAGAGAGCAATACAGAAAAATACCACAATAATCTGAAAAGTGTGCCCTTCACATACTTAGCTGAGCCCTTGTCAGCACATGCACATAGGGAAATACCTGAGAATAGGGAAAGAGTCCTTTAAAAAGATTAAGGATAATAGTACCTGATACTCACACAGGGCTAGGAATAGTCCCTGTTCTACCAGCCAGACTGGAAAATCTCAGATTTCATAGACCATTAGGTAAAGTACCCAGAATTGTTTTGCATCAGTAGTGGGAAAGATTAGCCCTAGACAAACACAGTTCTGGTTATTCCTTAAATGCAATACAAAAAAGGACCAAAATATTTTCAAATAATTAAACTAGATGCCAGAGCCAAGCAGAAGATTTATAGAGGGATGAAAATATTCAATATCCAACAAGGTAAAACACACTTTATTTGTGGCATAAAATTAAAATTTATTAAGTATGCAAAGAAGCAAGAAAATATAACCCATAACGATGACAAAATTCCATCAAAACTAATGCAGAACCAATACACATGTTGGAATTAACAAATAATGATATTAAAACTATTGTTATGACTGTAATTCAAAAGTTACATAAATACTTGGGATATATCAAAAAGCCCAACTTGAATTTCTAGGCATGAAAAACATCATGTGTTATATGAAAAATACACTGGGTAGAATTATTGGTTTATTAGATACTGTAAAAAACAGTGAATTTGAAGAAAAAGCAACGAAATATAAGCAAATAAAGCAGAAAGAATAAAGAATTTTTAAAAAATGGAAAAAGCATCTGTGAGCTGTGGAATAATTGGAGTCTCCCAAGGAGAGGAGGAAGGCACAAGAAACATTTGAAGAAATAACGGCCATTTTTTCCCAAATTTGGTGAAAACTAAACTAACACATCTAAGAAGTCAAAAAATTACAATCACAAAAAGGAAACAACTTCACCAAGATATATCACAATCAAATTGCCCAGAACTGGTAATAAGGAGAAAAACTTAAAAGCAACAAGAGAAAGAAAGACATGTTAGGTGCATAGAAATAAAGATATGAATGGCAGCAGATTTTTCTTCAGAAATAATGCAAGTGAGAAGACAATGGACAAATATCTTTAAAATAACGACAAAGAAAAACAACCAAACAACCCATAATTGTACATTAAGAGATATATCTTTCACAAACAAAGGTGATACATAATATTTTTGAACATATAAAAGTTGAAATAATTCATTATTAGCAGGCCTATATATATATGAAATGTTAAACTGTTAAAGAAAAATGACACCAGATGGAAGTATTGGTATACAAAAAAGAGTAAAGCACTGGATATGGGTAAATATGGGTACACGTATAATTATATAAGACTTTTTTTATTATATAATTTTCTTCAAAACGTATCTGACTGTTCAAAATACAACAACAAACTGTAAAGCTTACAACTTATACATATGTAAAAGGTATGACAACAATAGCATAAAGACGGGAGTAAACAGTGAAGTGTGTTATCGTAAAGTACTTGTCTGTTATCTACGTGAAGTGGTATCATATCAACGTAAGGTAGACTACTTGGTTACAGATGCATATATAACCTCTAAGGCAAGAAAATGTAAACAAACAAATACATACCGACTAATAGGCCCATAAAGCAGAAATCATGGAATTCTAATAATTTATATCAACTAATCCAGAAAAAAAAAGGAAAAGAAAAAGACAAGGAACACATGGAAGATACAGAAAGCATATGCCCCAAATACCCCTTTAGAAAGGCAGAGATCGTGAGAGGCCTAGGATTTCAGAGTTGAGTCCCACAGATAGCAAACAGGAACGTGGACAGATGGTCAAGTCACCAGTCAAATGGAAACACCATTCAAAGCCATCACAAGATACTGTGGCACACGTACTGGAATGTCCAAAATTAAAAAGGTTGGAATGCAAAATCCTCATATTTGTCCCTGTTCTTCTTTTCAGATGCCTTTAGTCTAACTGCACAGTATGATTTGCAATCTTACGCGCTTTTATGCTGCTTAACTGCTGGGTAAAACACGGCACGTCTCCGAGGAGCCAGGCACACTCTTCCCACATTCAGACACAAGCCGGACTACATCAACAGGGTAAATGCCGGGAATGGTCTGTAGGCAGGCCAAATTCTTATATCCCCTTTAGTGGATATATTCCTTTTCAAACTTACAATAACATTCTTCAAATTGCAGGGTTAATATGGCAAGACAGGCATCTCTAAGTCTAGGAAGACAGGAGATTGTTGAAGTGCCACATCATAATTCCTGGATAATGTTTCGAAAGTCTATTAACATAGTTAGCATGCGTTTACCTCTGAATCTGCTTGAGCCGCTCCTGTAACTCCGGGCCACGTCTCTGCAGCATTGTGTGCGGAGCACCATGTTATTCGACTATGTTGTGTGATAAACCTTCAGGATAAATTACAGATTTAAGATGACAAAATTAAAAAGGGTTGACTCAATCATGTATCAGAACGGACGTGGAGGAACCAGAAAACCCACACGGTAGTGTCAGGTATGTAAAATAACACACGCCCTTTGGAAAACTGCCTGTTTTCTGAAAATTAAAATATACCCCCAATTAATCTCCAAGCAATCCCACTCCTGACATTTACCTAAGAGAAGTGACAACTGCATCCGCAGAAGGACATGTGTATGAATAAGCACAGCTGCTCAATTTGCAACAGCCAAAGTCTAGAAACAACCCCACGCCCACCAAACAAGTAAGAGGTACACAGACTGTGGTGCGTTCATACAAAGCAATCACTCAGCACTAAAGAAGCTCAAACTAATATTTTGTTGAGAATTTTTATGAATCGAGTTGATTTCATTTTGTGAGAATTAAATTAATAAATGATAATGATTTGTAGTTTAATTTTTTTTGTACCATGTTTTTTTATTTTTAATATTAAGGTAATACCAGCCTCATACAACAACTTGGGAAATGCTCCAAAATCTTCTGTTTCCCAGAAGACACTGTATATAATTGATATTATTCTTTATATGTTTGGTAGAATTCTCCAGGGAAACAATTTGTGCCTAGAGATTTTATTTTTGTGGGAACTTTTAAATTAAAATTTGAGTTCTTTAATGGCCATAGGAATATTCAGACTATTTTTGTCGTCTTAGTTGAATATGGTCAGTTGGTAATTTGTAATTTTTTAAGAATTAAGCTATTTCTTCTAAATTTTCAAATTTATGAGATAGCATAAGTATACGAACATCTTTATACTTCATGCAAATATAAATTAAAATTTCAATAAAATACTACTACACATTTAACAGAATAACCAAAATAGAAAACATCCATAACACTAAATGCTGATGAGGATGCAGGGAAACTGGACCACTCAGTATAACCACAAAAGAAAAGCTGATTGTGCAAAGAGGGGAAAGGCATCCTTAAGGTAGAGACAGCTACATATGTGTGAACCTAAAATGGGAGAGAGGATACTGTTTGAGAAGTAGGGAAAAGGCAGAAAAAACCAACACAGAAAAAACAAGTGGCATGTAAATCCCATATCAGGCAAAGCCACGCAACATTTTGGAGTTTTAAGAATACTAGGGAATGGTAGAAAGGTTTCAATTAGGAAAATGATACCCTTAGATTTGGATATTATTGTACACTATTGTTTGTGCTACATATTACTGCACATTGCATATATTGCATTAGTCATGTACATTACTGTATAAGCATATTATAGAGTGTATAGATGGTATATTATTGAATATATATATCCAGCAATTGTTTTTAAAAGCAATCCATCATAAAGGATCAAAGGAGGATACAAAGGGAACAGTTAAGAGCAGATGAAAGCAGTAAACATAAAATAAATGACTAGCTAGGCCTAGGATGCTCGTGATTTTGGAAAGGAAATCAACTATGGGATTAAGAAGATTTCGCAATTGAATTGGTGGAGGTAATAAAGAAGGGTCCTTGCAAATGGAAGAGACTATGGGTAGAGGAGGAGAACAGGTTTAAGGGACAGGGGACGCTGCTTGGTCAGACAACGGGCTCGGCTGGGGAGTCACCGGTATGAGATGCCACTGCTATTCAATAATTCAACTCGAGATGCCAAGTTGACAACTGGACGTGTAGGATGTAGGAAGGGAAATCCTAGCTACAGATAAGAAAGAGAGAAATGTCAGCAAATGGAGATAAATGAAAGAAATGAAAACGAGTCACATCCAAAGAGAAAGTGAGGTGTGAGAAGAGAAAATTGTTTGAGGAAGAGCCCCAGGGAACTTCGAGATTAATGACCAATCAGAGGCAAAAGGGTATATGACGGTTATTTAACCGTCTCCTACTGACGGACACTCCACGGTGTGGAGATGACTCGTGTCATCAGGGTTTAGAAGTCTCACGTTAACCCACGGATCGCAGGTTTGGAGTTTTATTTTTGCTGATCTTCCGTACGCATTAACTGAATGGAAGAGTTAAGGACACTGTGGTGCTCTGTGCGCTGCTCTCTGGGCTTAGATATAACACCATTTACAACATCTAATGGGAAAAAGAGAAAGGCATGAAAATATTAAATACTCCAATGGCTGTCTTTCTAGGGCTTTAATGGCGTTCTTGGCAAGATAACAAAAGAAGAATGGTAGCTAAGAGATATATTTTAAATTCTATAAAATATGTCCATGGACTGCAATAAAAACCACTTAACTTATCACTGAATTTATTTTGATGTAAAGCTAAAAGTACGCCTAGAAGAAGGGTTGGTATTATTTATTATTCTCTCTTCCAGACATAGAATGAGGAGAGATGAATTCTAATTTAACGTCACCCGTGGAAAGCTGGCTGTGGATCAATGTCTAGTGACAGCCTTGTATTGCTCATGCTTCACAGTCTTTATTGGCTCTCTCATACGAAGCAGAGTGACGCATCGTGTGTTCCAAAGAGCAAGAGCAGCACAACTGGAGCTGCGTTGTGCAGCGGACCCCTCAAACCGGAGCATCGATGCCCGCTGGCCAAGGACGTTTGCTCTTTTCTGTAAGTGGTTACTGTGTGCCCCAAATTGGTTCCCAGTTTTTACTGTACGGTTGCACCGTTCGTTCCCAAACAATTACGGGTAAGAAGTAGCATGTAAGGTTTCCCAATTTAGCTTCATGCCAAAAATCTCGAACGTGGTGGGGTGGTAAATCAGCTCGCTAGCTTTCTGTGTGCTCTGCTTTATCAGAAATTAAATTAGAGATATAAGAAAGGAAGAACATGGAAGAAAAAAATAATAAATTAAATTGTCCCTTTGCTCTCAGTGTTGCACGTAGCGTACAGGAATTATTTCTCGGCATTAAGCACGCCAGCTCTGCCCCCAGGGATGAGCCAGGTTTGATCCTTGTCTTGCTTCCTGTGCTGCACCGGGCCCTGGACAAGGGTGACTTACTGGGCCTGTCAGTAGGTTTCTAAGGAATACTCACGCTCGTCTGTGTTATGTTTCTAACCACCGGCATCGTCTTTGAGTTAATGGATCTCTATTTACTAGTTAGGAACACAGTCATATCCTTGAGAATGTACTCATATTAAATTAGTTTAAGATTTTTATTTATTTACTTATTTTTTGGCCTGTTTTGAAAAAAAGAAGTTGAGGATTCGATAGTGTAGCCGTACCACGATACCAGCAGATACAGGTTTCTCTGAACGTTGCTGTGCGTGCGTGGCTTTTCCCTTCCAGCTCGCAGGGTGTGGTTCCAGCTCTGCGGCCGCATGCACACTGCGGCTCCAAGAAGGAGGTGACAGGGAGCAGCAGAAAGCAAAAAGCGCACGTCTGTTCAGTGTCTTTCTTTTTAGTGTCCTCGGAAAAGAGGCCAAACTCCGTAAAATAATTTGAACAGGTTTATTTTGCGTCACACCTGAGGACCGTGGCCTTGGGCCACGTCCAGGAAACCTTCAGTAAGTGGACTTGCTGTGTTTGGGTTACAATTTGGTTTTAAACATTTTGGGGAGACAGGAGTTGCAGGTAAAGTCGTAAATCAATATATGGAAGGAGTACATTGGTTTGGCCCCAAAAGGTGGGACATTGCGGGGGGGAGGGGGCTTACGGGTCATAGGTGGGTTTAAAGACTCTTTGATTTGCACTTGGTTAAGAAACCTGCATGTGAGTGCGTGTGGGTGCGTGATCAGGACAGAGTACAGAGCTGGGGCAAGACCTGCTTTCTCATCTCCACCTGCCTCGCCGGTCTCCTCCTCATCCCACCACTCACCAAACACACGCGGACTGAGCGCCTGTTCTTAAAAGTACCGCAAGGTGGAATATAAGAAAGATAGCTGAATTCACAACTTGCTCTAAATAAATGCTCGGATTTCAATTCGTGGGTTAACGAGAGACTTCTAAACCCTGATGACGGGTGGGGAACTGGGGCGGAACCTTCTCTAGGTTCTGCTCCTCCTCTGATCCCCTCTTCTTAGCCTTCTCTGCCCGCTGACACTTCTCAAACTGACCTTTCTGCTTCAGATTTACAGAGGTGTTTGTTTTAGGCATTTATCCTCATCTTTTTTAAATCTAAATAAGAATTTCTTTTTATTCATGGTTTATAATATTATTTATATGCAAACAACTCCCAAATCCAAACATCCACCCTAGATCTCTCTTGTAAGTTCTATTTTAGACGTGCAGATCTGTCTAAATACTTAATATCTCTATTTGGATCTCTCCTGGAAAACTAAAATTATACATGTCTGATTCTTAATTCTTGATCAATCCCTAGAAACTTTCATCTACACCCATATTGACCATCTAAGTAAAATATCATGACCAATTAATAGGTCATGATGAAGACTTAAATGGGCGTTGATATTTCTGTCTCTCATTTTTAACCCATAATCAATAAATTATAATACTCTACCTGCTCTCTATGGAGATTATTAATCCGCTAACTTCTCTAGTTTTTATTGTTATTCAACATCGTTGTTGGGGCTCAGAAAGTGATACCCCACAGGATGGTGTTCAGGCATGCGAGTATTTTGAAGGAAAGGAAACTGAGACTCCTGAGGAGCCGCCTCTAGAGCTGGGTCTCTGACCTTCCCCAGGTCCCCGTCACTGGGACGGCTTCTCCCTGCAGTTCCCGTGTCTGGCTGAGAAGTTCTTCCGAGGGAAACACAGCCGCCTCAGTCCCTCGTCTGGCCTCTCATGAAGCAGAGGAGGTGTAGGAGGGACTGAAGGTCATCACCCCGCAGAGAGACTTCCACTTGACAGATTTGATCTCATCAGACAGGTCTGTTTCCCTCACCTCCCCCAGAGCCAGAGCGACTTTGTCCCCGCTGCCCTCTGCTCTTTGTGCCCACTCCTTTCCCCTAAAAACTGTCTGCTCTTCCTCTAAAATTGCCTGCGTCCCCCACTTCCTTGTCCCCCGCGATCCTGGTATTTAAGCTGTGACCATCTGGCTGCATTCTGAGTTTCATATTTTGTGTG